TATAAATGAAAGTAAAAGCCAAACACAGGGAAGGATAGCACACTAGTTCTCCATGGAGAGTCAAGTAAGTTGTTTATTTTGTCCCCAAAGTCAACAAGAAACATCATTTCATAGAACACCTGGTCATGTCACCCTCCGGTGCTAACGAGGAACACAAAAGAAATGAGCATCACAATTACAATGGATTATGTGTCAATATCTGTTGCAGAGAATAAAGACGCAAATGAAGTTGAGGAAGAACCTGATTTAGAGATCACACTGAAAATACAGTAGTACTCCAAGAGATCTGAGATTTAGGATCATAGTTTAAGAGCTCTAATGGACCTTCAGGTCTAGTCCAAACTTCTAATTTTTCAGGTAAGGAAAGGTAAGGCCCAGAGAGGTTAGAGGACATGTGCATTCTCTCTACTAGTTTAGATCACAATCCACCCCATGCACCTTGTCCTGTGCAGTTGCTGTCCACACAATTACTTAGATTCACTCAAGTCTTTCTCTGCATCTTTTTGGTATATAGTGGATACCAGCAGGGCACTCTGGCTGTCTATTTGCTATCCCTCAGTCTTTTTGCAGAACAGATAACTCATTTTCCAATCATCTATTTCCTCAACAATTTTTCTTTTGTTGCTTTTCACACACATGCTCCAAGCCTTCCTGAGCATACCATATGTCTTTCCATTGTACTTTGGATCACCCATAACTCTTTTAAGAGATTGTAGAGTTCCAAGATTCAAAACCTTTATAGCATTGATGAGATAACATTTATGTTAAAAAGATGGTTCTCTAAATGAGGAATTATTAAAAGCCTCACACAAGTTCACTCCAGCCAACTTGCTTCTCCTATTAACTTTTAGGATCAACCCACTGTCATTCTGCAATGACTATCTTAAATACATATGTTGATGTACCCAATGAGCAGTCCATCCAACTGCATGTTATAACCTGGATAAAAATCATTTTCATCCATTCAGTTTTTCCTACATGGACTGCTCACTTTATTTCCTTTAAAAAAGTACGGATCTTACTGAAAACCTGAAGGACTCCATTTAATCAGCATAATATCACATGTAACAAGGAACATCTGGAGGACTTCTACCTACATTAAATCTCCGTTTTATTCAGATCTCACACTCCATGACAATGGTGAACATCTTTGGCAAGCATTCATATCTTTGTTTTATGTCTCCTTTACTGGTAAAAATTAGAAGATCATGAAACAGTGTTCATCAAGAAATCTTACATTACCTAAAAATATGTATTGTAGGCCAGGCCTGGCTTAGACTAATCTCACAATTCAGGTTTGAGACTGGAATGAAATGAGACACACAGAATATCTCATAGTTCTCCTAAAAGTTTACTCAGACATAAAATGGAAGGCATATTGTATATGTATACTGGTCTACACGCTAGACCAGAAGTGGGGAACCTATCCTCAAGGCCATTTATGGCCCTCTAGGTCTTCAAGTGAGACCTTCTGACTGAATCCAAACTTCACAGAACAAATCCCCTTAATAAAAGAATATTTTCCAACATACTTTACATCATTTTTCCTTCATAATAAAGTCATAAACTTCATTGTGGACTTTAAGACTTCATAGAATCCTAAAGTATATGTTTAACCTTATGACAAGTACAGCAAGATAAAATAATATAGTGTTCCATGAATTATATTTCTTATTGCTTCTGGATACAAAATAAAACCAATTCTGCCAAACTCTTTGTTTGCCTTTCCAAGGAGATCTATAAACAAACCAACTTTCCATTTAACAGCCATATTTCTTTGTTGTTGTTGTTTTAGTATTTTATTTTTCACCAGTTATATGTAAAAACAATTTTTAACATTAATTTTTAAAATTTTGAGTTCCAAATTCTCTCCCTTCCTCTCTCTTCATCCCCCTCCCCATCGAGAAGGCACGCAATTTGATGTAGGTTATACACATGTAGTCATGCAAAACATTTCCATATTAGTCATGTTGTGAAAGAAAAGACAGACCAAAAAAAAAAACCCTCAAGAAAAACAAAGAAAGTAAAAAAGTATGTTACATTCTGTATTCAGACACCATCAGTTCTTTGTCTGGGGAAGATAGCATTTTTTACCATAAGTCCTTCAAAGTTGTCTTGGATCACTGTATTGCTGAGAATGGCTAAGTCATTCACAGATGATCATGATAGACAGTATATTTCACTTTGCAGAAGCTCTTCTAAGTCTTTCCAGGTTTTTCTTACAGTATCCTGATTATCATCTCTTATAGCACAACAGTATTCTATCACAATCACATAGCATAATTTGTTCAGCCATTTCCCAACTGATGGGCATCCACTCAATTTCCAATTCTTTGCCCCCAGAAAAGAGCTGCTATAAATATTTTTATACATATAGGTCCTTTTCCTTTTTGTTTTCCATCTCTTTTTGGATACAGACCTAATAGCAGTATTGCTAGGTCAAAAGGTATGCATGGTTTTACTAGCCCTTTGGACCTAGTTCCATACTGCTCTAAAGAATGGTTGAATGAGTTCACAACTCCACCAACAGTGCATTAATATCTCATTTTTCCCACATCCCCTCCAACATTTGTCATTTTCCTTTTGTGTCCTACTAGCCAATCTAAAATGTAGGAGGTAGTACCTGAAAATTGTTTTAATTTGCATTTCTCCAATCAATAGTGAGTTACAACATTTTTCATATGGCTATACATAGATTTGATTACTTCATATGAAAAATGTTCATATCTTTTGATCATTTATTAATTGGGGAATGGCTTATTTTTATAAATTTGACTCAGTTGTCTATATATTTGAGAAATGAGGCCTTTATCAGAGAAACTTGCTTCAAAATTTTTTCACAGTTAAGATTACTAAATGTATTTCCCCTCCATTCTATTCCCTCATCCCATTTATTCTATTCTCTCTCCTTTCACCCTGTCCCTCCTCAAAAGTGTTTTGCTTCTGACTACCCCCTCCCTAAACCTGCCCTCCCTTCTATCACATACCCCCTTTCTCTTATTCTCTGTCCCTCTACTTACCCGTAGGGTAAGATGGATTTCTATACTCAATTGAGTGTGTATGTTATTTCCTCTCTGAGCCAATTCTGATAAGAGTAAGTTTCACTCACTGCTCCCCACTACCCCATCTTGCCCTCCACTGTGAAAGCTTTTCCTTGCCTTTTTTACATGAGATAATTTACCCATTCTACCCCTCCCTTTCCCCCAGTGCCTTCCTCTTTCTCACCCCACCCTTTAATTTTACTTTTTTAGATATTATCCTTCATATTCAACTCACACTTGTGCCCTGTCTATGTATACTCCTTCTAATTGCCCTAATAAAGTGAAAATTCTTATGAGTTACAAGTATCATCTTCCCATGTAGAAATCTAAACAATTTAACGTTAAGTCCCTTATTAGTTCCTTTTCCTGTTTACCTTTTTATTCTTCTCTTGAGTCTTGTATTCGAAAGCCAAATTTTCTATTCAGCTCTGATTTTTTCATCGAGAATACTTGAAAGCCCTCTCTTTCATTGAATATCCATTTTTTCCCTTGAAGTATTATATTCAGTTTTGCTTGGTAGGTGATTCTTGGTTGTAATCCTAGGTCTTCTACCCTCCAGAATATATATTCCAAGGCCTCTGATCCTTTAATGTAGAAGCTGCTAAATCCTGTGTTATCCTGACTGTGGCTCCACAATCCTCGAATTGTTTCTTTCTGGCTGCTAACAATATTCTCTCCTTAACCTGGGAGCTCTGGAATTTGGTTATAATATTCCTGAGAGTTTTAATTTTGGGATCTCTTTCAGGAGGTGATTGGTGTATTCTTTCAATTTCTATTTTACCCTCTTCTTCTAGAATGTCAGGACAGTTTTCCTTTATAATTCTTCAAAAAATTATGTCTAGGCTCTTTTTCTGATCATGGCTTTCAGGGAGTCCAGTAATTTTTAAATTATCTCTCCTGGATCTATTTACAGCCATCTTTCTATTTAACTTTTTTTTTGTCTTAAGGTCTCATTTACTGCAAGAATGTCAATACTAATGTGGTTCAGTTCTTCCAGTAATGTGTCAATTTGTTAATCATTAGTCAAGGATCTCACACTTAGAATAATTTAGTCTAAGTTAATGTTTATAGACAGCCTAAAACTTACATCATGCTTTCCTACTGACGTTTTCCATGATCATTTTGGAAATGGAAGAGGACCAGACATAACTGAGGCCTGTTTTAGATCTATGTTTCTTGAGTTGCAATGGCCAAAGAATTCATTTGCCTGGAATCCAACTGCTAGTGAAGAACCTTTCTATGCTCAGTTGCACTGGTCTTTGGACAGAACACTCAGTATGTCACTGGGAACATACAACCATACCTGACACCTTTCTGGCATGGTAAAAGCTGCTCAAACTTATGCTCATCTGGGATAGCCTTCAGAAACTCAGGAACATTTGCACATTGCAATGAGAGATCAGAGCAGGATTTTGCAGATTCTCCATAAAGGTGCTCATATGTTTCTACGGCACAGCTTGAGACATGTCACTAACCTGCTGTCTGCAGTTCCCTGTTGCCTTCAGAATATATAAACTTCTCAGTCTAGCAATTAAGGACCTTTGCACTCTGGATGCTAACTATCTTTCCAGTCTTATTCCATAATATTTCCCCTTATATGCTTCAAATTCAAGCCAGATCTTCAAAAATACTTCAGTCTAGCACTATGCTCTTCAGTTTACTTCAGAATCAATCTGGTTTCTAGCTCTGAGTATTTAAAACACACACACACACACACACACACACACACACACACACACACACACCCCTTCAACTGAAAGATGTCCACTTCCTTATTTTCCCCAATACTCAGTACCCAATACAGCATTTGATTATAAAATAAGGTTATACTGGTTCCCTTTGAAATCACATAGAAAAAAATTTTCATGTCTTTTTTAATTGATAGGATTTTATTATTTTAATGGACTACGAAAAGTTTCAGAGATATTTCTAATTCCCATTATTCAAGTCATTTTTTACCTGCTATCTCGAGAAGTGTAGCTACATGATCGCCTTCTGCCAACTTCACAAATCCAACCTGATTTCCAAAATTACCAATTCCTTGAAAGGGTAAATTTAAATCTCTTCCTTGTAGTATTTCTTCTATTAGTGCTTTTGTCTCCAAAAGAGCACCTATACCTCTGTTAAGAGAAGAAAAAATATAAAAGTCAGATAAAGAAAAGTTCTAATTTTGAGAGATTGAAATAAAACCTGGCATGATTCATTAAAATACCTACCAAATATTTTCATCTCAGAATCATTTCTAAAAATCAAACTGCTCAGCATAATAAGCTCATATTGCAACTTGAGCTTTACAAGTAAACATGAAAGTTAACGCTAACACGAAAACAAAAAACTTCAATACAATAAAAGTAAATCAAATTTCTGATATTTTCATTTGTATTGAAAAAATTGCAAGTGCATTACTTGCAGCAACTTTTTCATTATTCATCAAGAGTTCAGAAATATTTTGTCAAAACAAAGTATCAGAAAAAATTACTGACTGCATATTTACATTATGTGCCTCAAATATTAAAAGCTACAATTTATATCTGGCTTATGACAAATATAATGGACTCTATCACTATTAAATTGATCCAAATGTACTAAATAAATAAAAATATGTCCCCCCATAAAGTATTCTAAATACAAAATCAAACAGTGGAAAAAATACTGTATTTCTAGACCTGATACCAAATCCTAGTTTTGCTGCTTGCAACCTTTGTGACTTTGGGCAAGATTCTTAATTTCTATGGGCTTTGATTTATTCGTTTATAAAAGGGGAAAGGGTGAATTAAGTGACCTCTTATGTCCTTGACAGCTTTAAATCCAATATCCTAATGGTCTAAAGAGAAACCTTGGTTCTCTTAATTAGCCTTTACAAAGTGGATGCCAAATCCATGTCAGAGAATGCCAGCATTAAAAAGGAAGTGCTGCCCTATTTCATTTGTTTCATTTTCCATATTAAAAACATATATTTAATAGAGGCCAACTAATTTCACCTTCTATGATTTTAGCTCTGTAGTGTTTTTGGTAGTAGGAATAAGTTATTTTCAATATCAAATTATTGTTATACAGCTTACTTATTACATGCATCTTACTACTCTTAGAATGGATTTTTTTAAAAAAAATCTCACTAGGGGGCAGGCATTATCCAGTAAATAGTTACTGCCTTTCAAGACTACATCAACTGTTCAAGAAGACCGTGTTACTTTACATTTCTTTGAGTGAATTATTTGTGTAGTTCTATGTCAAGTATGTGAGAAAGAGCAATCAGTGGTAACTTTTAATCAGTGAGTGTTGTATTCTTCCTACTTATTGACCTAACCCAGCATTGATTCTGGAATAATTATAAATCAAGTGTTGAAAATGTGCTTGTTAGAGGATACAAAGAACCAATCTAATTATTTTAGAGTCACATTCATGTGTTCAGAATGTTTTTGTAAATGGAAAATTTTATTATTTTATTTAAAACATCTACCAAATCCAATCCTTTTGAACTGTATCTTTACTAAGCTTTAGCCGGGGGACTAAAACTTTCACTAAACCAATATTTGTTAAACCATGCAAGGGTCTTCTTGATGAATGTATATGATATATAATGGAATATAATAACATGACAATTCTGGTAAATTTAATAAAAAGTTATTTTAAAGTGTTTGATGATCCCTATCTTATGAGAAAATCTATGTTAGGGACAAGTAAAAATAGGAACAGCAAAACCCTACCAATTAAGAAGATTCCGCATTTTTCTTTAATACTAAGATAATCTGCATTCATATCCTCTTTTCCTCAGTTCATCTATATTTTGCATTGAGAATATTTTGCTATACCTTTAATTGATTTGTTATTTAACAACTATTTTAAAATATCCTTATGTTTTTAATTCATTTCAAAGAAAAAAAATGGCCATACATTCCAAAGTGAAAGTACCATAAATTTTAAAAATGGGATATCAGAGCTAGAATAAAGACCAAATCATAATGGTTCAGTGAAGCATATATTTGTAAATAATTAATCATTCTATGCTGAAGTGACTCAAAATAGATCAGTGATGAGTGTATAGGACATAGGTTCAAATTCTACATATGCCATTGACAAAGTATCTTACTGTGAGCAAATCGTTTTATTTTTAGGGGGACACAATTCTCTTATCTATAAAATGATTCCATTCTATTAGATAGCTATTCTATTACAAAGCTAGATGCTTTCAGCTTTGAAAATATTATTCTATTCTTTCAGTATTTCTCATCATATCCTTTCACCCAGAGGGGAGCTACGTTAAAATAGATATGTGGTAAACAAATCCTTGAAATGTCCCTTGACACTGTCATAAAAAATCAACAATAATAAAGCCAGTCAATAAATAAGCATTTTTTAAAGACCTACTATGTTTCAAGCATTGTGTTAAGCACTGGGTATACAAAGTAATGCAAAAGATAGTCTCTACTCTTAAGGAGTAAAGGAAAAAACATGAAAACAACTATGTACAAACAGGATATATAAAGGATAAATTGGAGATAACCTGAGAAGAAATGCTCTAAGATTAAGGAAGCCTGAGAAATGCTTCTCATACAAAGTAAGATTTTTGGTGGGACTTGACCTGAAGGAAGTCAGGGGAGCCAGGAGGCAGAGCGGAAGAGGTAAAGCATTCCAGATGTGGAGGACAGATAGTGAAAATGCCTACAGCCAGAAGATGAGGAGTATAATGTGAGGAACACCAAGGAGATCAATATCACTGGATTGTAGGATGGGTAGGGGTGAGTACAGTATAAGAAAACTGGAAAGGTGGGAAGGGCCAGGCTTAAAGGCCTTTCAAAGCCCAATAGAGGATTTTATACTTTATCCTGGAAGTGATAGGGAGTCACTGGAATTTACTGAATAGGGGGATGACATGGTCAGACATGTGCTTCAGGAAGGTCATTTAGACTGCTGAGTGCAGGACAGACTGAAGTGGGCAAGACTTGAGTCAGGGAGAACAACCAGTAGTCCATTGCAATGGTCTAGTCATGAGGTTATGAGAGCCTGCACTCGGGTGGTGGCAGTATCAGAAAATAGTACAGTAGGGGGAGGAGTATACAAGACATGTTATAAAAGTAAAATTGTTAGGACTTGGCAACAGATTAGATATAGGAGGTGGAATAAAGTGAGAGGTTCGGGATGATACCTATATGCAGGTGAGGCTGGGTGACTGGGAGGATGGTGGTGCCCTCGATAGTAACAGGGAAATTAGGAAGAGGACAGTGTGGAAGGAAAGAGAATGAGTTCAGTGGTAGAAATGTTAACTTTAATAAGTCTATGGGATATCTATGTCAAGATGTCTAAGGCCTGTTGATTTCACCTGTACAACATCTCTCCAATACTCCCTGTTCTTTCCTCTGACAATGGCACCACCTTTATGCAAGCCTTTATTACCTCACACCTAGATTACTGCCAATAGCCTGCTGTGGGTCTACCTGCCTCAAATCCCTCCTCACTCTAATCCATCCTCACTTCAGCCATTAAAGTGATTTTCCTAAAGCTCAGGTCCAAACATGTCACCTCCCTAATCAATAAACTCCAGTGGCTCCCTATTGTCTCCAGGATCAAACGCAAAATCCTCTACTTGGCATTCCAAATGCTTTATAACCCAGGCCCCTTCTTATACTTACACTTCCTACACTTCCCACAACATACTCTTCGATCCAGTGACACTAGTCTCCTAGCTGTTCCACAAAAAAGATAAGTTGTGGGCATTTTTTCTGGCATTTAATTTTCGCTCCATGCCAGGAATGTTCTCCCTTCTCATCACTGCCTACTCGTTTCAAAAATCCCATCTTCTACTGGAAGCCTTTCCCAACCCCTCTTAATTCTTATGCCTTCCTTCTCTTAATTATTTTCTATTCATCTTTTATAGAGCCTGTCTTTACATATTTGTTTTCTTGTTGTGTCCCCAGTTAGCCTGAGGGCAGGGAATACCTTTTTTCCCCCTTTTGCATTCCCAGTGCTTAGCACAGTGTCTGGAACACCATAGGAGCTTAATAAATGTTTACTGACTGACCAACTAATAGAAAGTTGGATATGCAAAATTAAGGGTTAGGAGAGAGGTTAGTGCAGGACAAAAGATCTGAGAATCATCTATGTAGAGATGATAACTGAATCCATGAGAATTGAGATAACCTAGAGAATTACTATAGAGGGGAAAGACAAGAGAGCCTAGGAAAGAGCCCTGGGGGACACTCACAGTTACGAAGCATGACTGACTGAAGATCTAACAAGGGAGATTGAGGAGGGGGTCACATAGGAGGAAAAAGAGTAGTATCATAGAAACCAAGAGAATTGATTATCAAGGAGAAGAGGATGACTGACAGCATCAAAGGCTGCAGAGAAGGAGGACTGAGAAAAGGCCACTGGATTAGATAATTAAAAGATCATTAGTAACTTTGAATAAAGCTATTTCAGTTAAATGATAAGGTCAGATGCCAGACAATAGAGAATTAAGAAGACGGTAAGAGGAAAGACAGCAGATGCATTAGTTGTAGACAACTTTCTCAAGAGTTTAGCCACAAAACGAAGACATAGAAATGGTTATATCAACTGGGAGATTTTTGAGGATGGGAGAGACAGGGGCAGTATTGTATGCAGTAGGGAAACAACCAGCAGACAGGAAGAGACTGAACACAAGTGATAGAGTACAGATGACAGAAGGGGCAATTTGGAGAAAACTGGATGAAATAGGGTCTCTTGTGCAGGTAAAAGGGTTCGTCTTGGCAAGAATAACCACTTCTTCATATGAGGAGGAGATATTGGCAGAAAGCATTTGAGTGATGTGAAATGAAGAGGAAGCTCTCTTTGAATAGTCTCAATTTTTCATTGAAATATGAGGCAAGGCCAAAGGAGTTTTGAAGAGGGATGAAACAGTTTAGAAAAGCTACTGTGGATAGTGAGTCATTTAGGGAGATGTAAAAGGATTGTCTTACCTCAATAATGATATATTCATATAAATATATGTGTGTGTGTGTGTATACATATACACACACATATACACACACACACACACATATATACACACATACAAACATATCATGTACACATCTAATCTCCCTATAAGCTTGAAGGCTCCTCCTTGCTAATTTTTTAAAATCCTCCACAGAGCCTGAGACTTAAACACAGAGAAAAGACTTTGACCAAACATGCTATCGCAGAGTCCACAAAGTATTGAGTGTAAAATGAAGTATTATTTCCTTGCCTACACTGCAGATAATGATATAAAGTATTATACTATCAGCACTGACAAAAATAAATTGGGTCATTTCCTAATGTATCAGAAGTCCTCTCCAGGAAGTAGTAACCTCTAACAGTCAAGCATGGCTTTATCAAGAACAGGTCATGCCAGATTAACCTCTCTTGTTTATTTATTCATTCATTCACTTATTTATTTATTTATCCACCTATTTACTGGGTAACTAGAATAGCAGGTGTATAATACTTTAAACATTATATATTTAGACTCCTTCAAAGCATATGATAAAGAGCTTTATCCTATCCTTATTGACATAGAAGAGAGGGGAATCAACTAGTTGATAGTTTAGTTAGCTTCTTCATTGGTTTAATGACTGAATTCAAAGAGTCGTAATTAATGGGCTAATGTTATTGTGGAAGAAATCTTCTATTGATCTGCCCAAAGAATCTGTCCCTGCCTCTTCAGTGTTAAGCACTTTTATCAGTGACGCAGATGAGGTATATATGGTATGCTTGTCAAAAATTTGCAAAAGACATGAAGATCATTAACACGCTGGAACAGAGTCAGGATCCAAAAAAAACTCTACAAACTAGAAGGATGGGCTATAAAACCCTGCAACTTTACAAGTACAAAAATGAGGGATATATGGTTAAATAAGAAAGACCCAGAGATTTTAGTGACTGTGAGCTCCAGATGAGTTAAAAGTGTAGCATGGCAGTCTAAAAAGCTACTGCCATTATTGTCCAGGTTAAGAGAAGCAGTGTCTAGAAACAAGGAGGTGAGAATCTCAATGTCCTCTGCTTTCATCAAACTTTGTCTACCCTGTGTAGTTCTGAGTGCCATAATGAAGGGAGCATACAGGCTAGTGTGAGCACAATCAGAAGAGGGGCATCAGGATGGTGAGAGGATTGGTTAAAGCAGACCTGCACAACTTGGCAATAGGTAGGGGCCAAAATTAAAATAGGCTAAACTTCTTCAAGCCTCACAGAGGTTAGACTAGACACAGACTGATGATGGCTGGTTGCTGTGGGTCACATGACAAACAGGAGAGTCTGCAGTGGCAACCTTACATTTTTCTCAGGCCGCCAGAAATCCTTTGGCAGTCCTCATGTTGCACAGGCCTGAGTTAAAGGAACCAGATATGTTCTCACTGGAGAAGAAGTAGGCTAATAGCTTTCTTTAATATAAAAGGGTTAGTCTTGAGGAAGAGGGATTACTCTTGTTCTGTTTGGCTCCTTAGGGTAAAAATAATAGCAGTGAGTAAAAGTTGCAAGCCTTAATATAAGTAAAAACTTCCTAACCATTATAACTTTCTCAAAGTGTAATAGTCTGCTTTAGGATGCAGTCAATTTCCTTCACGGTCAGTATTTAAATAGAGGCCAGATGATTACTTTTGAAAGTGAAGTAAAAGGAATTTCTATTCAGATATGTGTTTCACTAGGTAGTCTCTACAACTGCTTCCAATTCTGAGATTTTGATTCTGAACTCAGAAATGTGTTGAGGTGAGGCCAAAGAGAAGTCTATTCATCTACGTAGAAAGGAAGAGATCCTCTATTTTGCTATATAAGCCATGTATAGCTAAATGAATTTTTTTAAAGAACACAACAGCCTAAGAACAATGAACTGTACCTACTGTAACACAAAATAAAGCTCTGGACCAATCTGGTTATACAAGTATTAGAATAAAAGGTAGTATGGTATAGTATACTACTCTAAAGAATTCTAAATTAACTTAAGGCATCATACATTTTGAGCTGGGAGGGAATTTAGAGACCATCTAGTCTAGCTTCTTTACTTTACAGATGAGGAAACTGAGCCCCAAAGAAGATAAAAACTAGTCCAAGGTCACACAAATACTAGGTGGGAAAGCTCCAAATTGAGCTCCACTTACTCTCAAATGACACAAAACAGTTTGTTAACCAACCTATACTCAAAGTCCTTCCTCCTTGGTAAGACTTAAAAAAATTTACATTCCACTGGCATAGTTTTTGAGAATGTAGGGTCTCTTCCCTGTAATCATAAGGCTTACTGATTTGAATAAAGTAAGATTTAAAATACTAATACTCTTTTTTAATCTATTTTTTGAAGTTTTCAACTCTACTTTCTTCTGTGCTTATATGACTGGAGGGTTGGGAAAGAATAGGAGAGAAAGAATTTATCTCAAAATACTTACAGGTTAACTTCCTCTTCATTTAGTAAGTGCATCACTAGGAGAGTAACATGGAAGGAACCACAATTGGTCATTACTTTGGACAGCCTTTTATCTTGTCGTATTATTGTGTTTTGCAGAGTCTGAATTCCTCTTGAAATCTAATCAAAGAAATTAAAAACCAGTGATTAGACAAAACTGGATTACTGCCAAAATATAATCTTTTAAAAAAGTGCAGGAAAAACAACCACAACACAAATAGGGTAATTTCAAAAGTATTCAAGCAAACATATTCTTCATTATCTATTTCACTTTCTTGACTATCATGGATGGTTGAACTAGTTGCTTTAATATAATCTCTGAATCAAAGAATCATGAATTCAGGTGAAAGAGATCTCTGAGATCATTCTAGACTAATAATAATTCCACAGAAAAGGAAAACTGATTAAAAGACAAACATCTTCTCATGACACTGCTCTCTCCTTATTCTCCTCCTACCTGTCTGACCACTTCTCAGTCCCCTTTATTGAATCTTTAATCAAGTCACACTCATTGGCTGTAGATATCTTCAAACACTTTGTCCTGGGCTTTCTTCTTTTCTCCCTCTATGCTATTTCCCTTGGTGATTGTCATCAGCTCCCAAGTATTCTACCATTACCTTTATGCAAATGATTCTCAGATTTTTTTGTCCTAATGTCTCTCCTAATATCCAGTCTTGCATCTCCAATTGTTTATTGCATTAAATCTTAAACTGGAGGTCCCATAGACATCTGAAACACATCCAAAACTGAATGCATTCTCTTTCCTTCCTAACTCTCCTATTACTACTGAGGGTACCACCATCCTCCCCAGTCATTCAGCCTCACCCTCATGTATCATCCCAAACTTCTCATTTTATTCCACCTCCTACATCTAATCTGTTGCTTGAGGCCTATCAATTTTACTTTCATAACATCTCTTGTATACTCCCCCCCCTACTCTACTATCTTCTGATACTGCCACCACCCAAGTGCAGGCTGTCATCACTCTCACGACTGGACCACTGCCATGGATTACTGGTTGTTCTCCTCACCTCAAATCCTTCCCCACTTCAGTCTGTCCTGAACTCACTCAGCAGGCTAAACGACTTTCCTGAAGCACATGTCTGACCATGTCATCCTCCTATTCAATAAATTCCAGTGACTCCCTATCACTTTCAGGATGAAGAATAAAATCCTCTGTTGGGCTTTTAAAAGCATTTAAGCCTGGTCCTTCATACCTTTACAGTCTTCTTATACTGTACTCACCCCTACCTATCCTATAATCCAGTGACATTGTTCTCCTTGATATTCCTCACATCATACTCCTCATCTTCTGACTCTGGGCATTTTCACTATCTTTCCCCATGTCTGGAATTCTCTTTCCCTCTTCATCTCCACCACCTAGCTCACCCACTCAGCTTCCTTCAAGTACCTGCTAAAATTCTACCTCCTACAAGAAGTCTTTTTCATTCTCTCTAATGTCTTTCCTCTGAGATTACCTTCAACTGATCCTACATATATCTTGTTTGTACATAGTTGTAGGTTCTTCCTCCTATTAGACTCTGACCTTGAGAGTAGAGATTATCTTTTGCCTAACTTTGTTTTTAGAACACAGATTAGAACATAGTAGGCACTTAATAAATGCTTGTTTACTGAGCTTGACTCTAAATTTACCCACCTCCACAGACTCTTTTTCATCATGAAACCATTATGGCACACTTCAGTCACATTCTTCCCCACAAAAGCTACGTTCTTCCTACTGAAGTTCAAACCAGCTTGCTAATTTCTCCATTTGTGGATAGGCTATCATATTTCTTGTTTTTAACTGAATGTTCCTGACAGTAGTTCTCTTGCTGTCTTCAAGATTATCTAGCTTAGCCCCTTTGAGGGGGAAAATACTACAATTATGTTTATAAAAGGAAGCTTTTTAAGGAATGCCATGGGGATCACTGGAGACTTTCTCCCCACCCAGTTTTCTCCCATGTTCAATTATTTCTTTCTTCCTCACTGCATCCTGAATTGAAAAAGGAAATTACTGTCTCATGTAATCACTTCCTGGAACTAAGTTTTCCCTTATTCTAAGCATCCTGATCCTAAAAAACCTCTTCTCTTCTCCACTTATTACATTTAACCAATACCTTTCAACATTCCATATCTCCACAAGTCATTTCTGAAAATGAGTTAATTGATAGGAAATTACATGCTAGTACTTGAAATAATATTTCCTGAGGCAAAGAGCCATCTCTATGATATACACACAGAATGAATTTGAGAGTCTGATAAGCAACACACTATAACTGAACAATGTACTAAAATATAATGCTTAAGTTTTACTTGTCCTTATAATCAGTGTAAATATAACTAGATAAAAAGTGACTTCAAGTAGGGAGTCCATATCCTACTTCTCTGGAATCCTTCAGAGTTTGTAAGATGGTGTTGAGACATAAAAGGTTTAAGTACGACTTACTGATTTTGCTAGTATTGGTACTGATAGAGGGAAGATTATTTTGTATTGCAAACTACTAATATTTCTCTTAGCCCTTTTAGCAGTAAGAAACTCAAATAAAATTGCATTTTTTGGGCCACTGGTTTAAACTGATATGAAAAAAATAGTATATGTATTTCAGGGGCATTTTTTTAAGAGAAATGATTAATGAAATTTTTTTTTAAAATACATTCTATTTTGGACCTGTTCCTCCACCCCACCAAAAGACTAATTTTTAAAGGTTGGGTTGTAATCTTTAGGTCTTAGAGTTGATTACTCAAATTGTTTATTAAAAAAAAAAAACCTTGGGCCATGATTAAATTGTTCATGTTCTATAAGACCTAGTGATCTTAAAAGATAGAAAAATATAGATTCCACATACACAAAAATATTCATACCAACAATTTTTGTGGTAGCTAAGAAGTAGAACCAAAGTAGGTACTCATCAGTTGGGTAATGGTTGAACAAATTATGATAAAAGAATGTAATGGAATATTATTGTGCAAGAAGAAAGAATATGAGCCTTTCAGAGAAACACAGGAAGACTTATATGAACTAAAATAAAGCAGAACCAAGAAAAGTGTATATAAAATGACTACACCAATATAACTGAAAAGAACAATAAAACCAAGTTGAATACTGTGCAATTTTAATGTCCAATTTTGGTCACAGAGAAAAGATGAGTACAAGTACCTCCTTCCCTTCTTTACCTGAAAATGTGGAAGATGCTGTTACATTATCAAACAGGGGTCGCTGGGTTAGTTAGTTTTATTTAATAGGTTTTTCTTTGTTATACGGAAAGATTCATCGTGAGGAGGTAATAAGGAAATGGAAATCATTACAATGTAAAAACAAAAGGCACCAATAAAATTTTTTAAAATCAACCCCCTACTATCTGCCAAAGAATAGATAAATCAACTGTCTATGGGGAGTCCTGTGCATTGACTTGTATAAGAGAAGACTGAAATCAATATCAAACTAGCAGAAAAATAAAGATGAGAATATTGGTATTCAACTGAGGCAACTCCAACCCCACTTATTCAAATTACTTATTGATCTAAAAAAAGAACTATATAAAAGAATATAGCATATCATTCCATACCACTATGTTCTAAAAGAAATTTTAGTGATGCAAACAAAGAAATAAGTTAACTATATGCATAGTGAACTAAAATTTAAAATAATGAATGCTACAATTAATATTATTTTAATAGATACGAGATTTCATTTGCATTGATAATTTCTGGTGCAGACACTTATTCCACCAATACACAGCTCTCAAACTTCTTAGAGTGCTACCTGGAACACTGAGCATTAAATGATTTGTCCCGAACCACACAGCCAATATGTATCAGAGGAGAAACTTGAACCAAGGTATTCCTGACTTCATGGCTGGCTCTCTATATGTTATGCCACATTGATTCCTGCTACATATTCATAATATAATAAATTCAACTCACCTAATAGAATTTTGATGATTTAAAATATATTAATGATAGTATAGATTCATGTTATAAGGTCTTTTTTCATGAGGTGTCTACTGTTTCCAGAATCCAGAAAAATTAAGGAGCGTAGTACTAAAAAATTCAATTGATCAGAACATTTTGAGAATTTTTAACTATTCATTTACGGTTACATAGTCTAAAACAGTATAAAACAGATGGTTAAGTCAGTCAACAAGCACTTATTAAGTTCTCACTATGTGCTAAGATAAGCACTGGAGATACAAAGAAAAGACGAAAACACCTGTCCTCAAGTCACATACATGCTAGTGGGGAAGTCATTATGTAAATGACTAGATACTCATCCCTTAACAGTCCAAATCTTGGCTAGCAAACTCTTGGGTTTTATTCACTCTAAAAAAATTAAGCAGGGGTAAGAACTTGACCATTATGTTTTCTCTCCAACTACCCTAGTACTAAGAAAGGTCTCAAATTACAAATATCATCTTTCCATGGAGGAAGGTAAACAGTTCAACTTTAATAAGTCAGGAAGTAATTTTGTTAACATGGGATTCTGCTTTCACAGAAATTCCTAGGTTCTAGTGCCAGGGTGGTAACTTCACATATCATGGTACCAGTAGCAATCCATCTATGGGGAGAAAACATGCTGATACGAATTTCATCCCTACCCGGCATGTTACTCCAGTTTCTAATCTTCACTGTTTAGTCTGACTGGTTGGATGACACTTTGGCCAGGTGAAAAGAAGGTATGAACACTATGAAAGCCAGGAGGTAATTTTGGAACCCAAGATGGCAAGACCAGCAAGAAAGTTCACTTTAGCTGACTGTGGACAACTTTTATAACTTTGGGGGGGGGGGTGTTGGTCTTAATCCCCTACTATTCTTTAGGTAGCTTGAGAAAGCATCCCCTACCCTGACCTAAGGCTGCTCTTATACCCTGTAATACTTATACTCTCACTTGCTATATAAATTGTTCGAATGTAATTTATCTGTTTCCTCTACAAATCTGACTAGATTGCAGAATTAAATTTACTATTATGACATAAAAAATAAACTACAAATATTGGTTGCTTTAACCAAGGTAAGAGATTTTTAATTTTTCCAGCTGAGGATTATAAAGTGGTTCTATGTAGTATATGAAGGCTACCTCAAAAGAAAGGAAACCCTTAGTAAGCCTCTTCCATGTGAGTCTT